AGGGGGGGGCAGTTTTCAAAGAATTATAAAACGTTTTACTCCCTCCAAGAAACGTTTGGAATATTTGAAGAACAACTGTATAACCTTATAACCTGCGTACTTGTGATTGAATGAGGGTATAGGAAAATAATTTTCAGAATGATTAAAATATACATTTTTGTTTCAAATAGTTTGTTTGTTTGCTTAAGAGCACTAATTACTTAGGACTTGGCAGTAATTTAGGTTTAAAATCGCACAAGCCCCTTAAGAGACAACTTGGGGCGCTCAGAAACTGTTGTTTTTCTTCAGCCCCTACGCGTGGATTTAAGATTTAGCTTAACTGATTACATTTATGTCTGTCATGGCGATTAAGTGTCTCACATTTTAAGATTAGAAGGTGGCTTTAAAAGCAAAGCCACATTGTATGATAAGATTGCTTATCACATTAAACAGATATACTTTGTATCCAAAAAACTATATTCAAGAAATTATTCGAAAATTTTCCAAGGGCTCAATTGCCTCAGTGTAAAAAACAATTGAATTATCATAAAAAATGCTAATCGAGCTTTTAAATAGATTTTTTCTTTGTCACTGGGAAGTATTTTTTTAATGTCTCTAAAGGGTTATTTGTGCATAACTGACCTTAATCTTGAACTTACAGACTACAGGGAAGAAAGCTAGTCAACAACACCCACTGCCAAATATTTAGGTGCTTTTATTTTATCTTAATGTTACTATTTGTTCAGTCAGACATCTGTTTGTGGTTTGATAAGCTCTCATTTTCTTAGCCCAACGATTTCGTTATTATTATTGCTCTTAAACATTTTTGAGTTTTCCCATTTGAAACCGATTAAACAAAACAACAAAAATAAATTATATCCAAATGACCAGAGATACAAGTTCATTTTTGTTGCGGTTATGTTGATAAGGTTAACATTTCCAAGGTTCTTGTGTAAGTATAATGAAAATGCTCAAGCGATCAACGTTTCGAGGTCGAATCAAGGTCGTTGATCGATCTTAGAATAAAAGGTTTTAATAGCGTATTGAAAAATGTTAATCGTTTGAGTATTCTGACGCAATTTACGATCTGACGCAATTTATGGTCTTTGGAGTAGCTTTTGACGAAGTCTCTACTCAAATATGGTTTATCAAATTAAATAAAATAGATATAATTAACACCCACTAAATACTTGCTATAAAATGGCTAATTTCCGTACCTGGGTCAATATTATTGACTTTTGTAGAAACTGAAAGGTTAAAGTAAAATTAGTTATTATTGCAAAATACTATATAATGAAAATATTAGGTCGTCAAGAAATTAATGTCGCTTTTTTTTAGATGAAAGAACCCGAACAACTTATATATTAAAACAAAATATATATTAAATGAAATAGTCTCCATTCTTATCGATGATGCTTTTCCATCTTACAATCAGGTTGTTAATGCCCTGATTAAAGAAATCACTTGGCTTTGAAGCAAAACACATGTCGATGTCTTCTTTAACACCTTCCACATTTGCATACGTTTTCCCATTAAGATGGTGTTGCAGCGAACGAAAAATATGAAAACCTGATTGTGCCATATCTGGAGAATATGGTGGGTGGGGGAGAACTTCCCAACTCCATAACCTTGTGTTGCGTCAAACGTGCCACATGTGGACGTGCATTGTCGTGGAGAAGAAGAACACCTTTCCAATTGACAGTGAAGGGCGTTTCTGATGAAGGGCTTGAGTTAAACGTTCCTGTTGCTGACTATAGATCTCTGCATTGACAGTTCGCTGTGGATTGAGGAGTTCGAAATGAATTACTCCTTTGATGTCCTACCAAATGCAAAGCACCACTTTCTGCGGATGGAGTCCAGGTTTTGGGGTCGGAAGTGGTTTTTATCTAGGACTGTGCCATTGTTTTTGGCATTTAATATTCGCATAGAGAATCCATTTTTCATCACCGATGACAATTCTGTCCAAAAGTGATTCACGCG